AATTATTAAAAATAGAGTTTATCTAGATTTTTTTTTAAATCAATAATTTGAAACTTTTTTATAAAATCCTCGCAATAATTCAATTACTTTCATAAATAATAAAACTCATTGCAGAAATAGAATTATGTATAATACAATTTTAATCAAATTCGTCGAAAAATGTAATTATTTTTAAAAATTTGATTAAAATTTGTCAAAAGAATTCAATTATTTCAATTATTTTCATAAATAGCAAAAGTTTTCAGATTTACTAAATTCTTTTGAATATTATTTTTGGAAAATATTCTTCACAAGAATTCAATTATTTTCATAAATTTCCATAAAATTCGAAAAAAACAAATCAATTATTTTCAAAAGTAATAAAATTCTCTGCAAAAATTCAATTATGTTTAAAAATTTTTTGAAATTCTCCTCGAAATTTCAATTATCTTTATAAATAATTAAATTGTTCTTTACAATTAAATTATTTTCAAAAATTTTAATGAAATTGAATTAATCAAATTTTTAATTATAATTATGAACAGACAAGATTTTTTTTTGAAAAATTGAAAAAATTCTTTGTTTAATTCAATTATTTTTCAAATTTTTAATTAAAATTATTAAAAAAAACATTATTGGCAAATATTCATAAAAAATCTAATACAAATTTTGGAAACCATTTGTAGATTTATTTATGTTCGAAATAAAATAAATTTAAATTTGATGAGAAAATAAAACCGGAAAAAATTAGAACAAAGCCGGGAAAAACAGGAAATTTAAAGGTTATCATTTTCAAGAAAATCTAAACACAATTTATAATCAGTCACTATTGATAGAGTAAATGTCGGTAAAATTATTTCCTAATATCTTATTGACTGTCGTTTTTCATTAACGATTTTAGATTTTAACACTGTTGTTAAATGGAAATGTGAAAACTAAAAATCTAAATTTGACTATTTGTTCAGAAAAGTAGCTTTTAGTAGCATTAGGCTCAAAAAAGTAGCCAAAAAGTAGCCTCATATCAAAAAAGTAGCAAATAGTAGCTTTTAGTAGAAGAGTGCGAAGCCTGGAATTCTTAGTTAAAAATATGAAAAATTCAAACCTTTTCAAAATTCAATTATTTCTAAAAATTTACATTTCAATTATAATCTAAAATTTTAACTGAAATCAATTTTTAAATCAATGTTTATGAGAAAATTATACTAGAATTCAATTATTTAAATACAAAAATAACAATTTATTGAATAATTGCATGTTCTTTAAAATTGAATTCTCATAAAGAATTTTATCTATAAATTTTTAAATATCTGAATTCTTTTGACGAATTTTAATACAATTGTTAAGAATTTTTTCGAGGAATTCGATTAATTTTTTTTTAAATAATTGAGGGCGTGGATCGGATAACTGCCTGTAGCGCATGGCCGAATGGGACTATATACCAGTCAAACATCAGTGAGAGGCCTAGAGGCGCTCACTATTGTCTGACTGGTATAGTCCCTTTCGGCCATGCGCTACAGGCAGTTATCCGATCCACGCCCTCAATTGAATTCTTTTGGAAAATTTTATGAAAATAGTAGATATTGAAAATCATTGAATTGAGGAAAATTTTTGAAAATAATTGAATTTCGAAGAAAAATTAAATTATTTCTAAAAATAATTGAAATTTTGATAAGATCCGTAAGTGTGGCTAAATTCGCTCGCATGTAGGGTAAATTCGCTCAACAGATATCTATTTTTTAAAATTCGATTAACATACTTTTTAGACAGAAATATTTCAGATTTACAATTGTTTTGGTTAATATAAATGCTAAACTTTAATTTAAAATTTATTTACAGCAAATTTATTGGTAACTTTCAATAAAAATTATGTTTAAACCACAAGTAAATAATTTTCATATTGAACAAGTATAGTATAAAAAAATAAGGAATAAAGCTTTATTTCAAAATTTTTAAGTTGAATTCTTCTAAACATTACATTTTCTGTATCTCCAACATGATTTTCATAAAGCACAAAACTGAAAGCAATAAACAGATGCTGCAAAAAATCAATTTAAAAAAAAATTCAAATTTGTTGTGTAAATTCGCTCATGAAATAAGTCTACAAAAAAGATGTTTGGGCCTGGATATTTAAAGTATGTTAATTACTTTAATTTATAATTCGATTTTTTTAAATAATAGAACTCTTATAACTGAAAATTAGACGATTTAAAACGGTTTAAGCACTAAACTGTCAAACTTAACCTTGTTTTTTATGGTTATGAGTACGTTTGATTGAATGATTGAATCTAATTACTTATTGATAAAACAATATTAAATATTTATTCCAATAACTTTGTATATTATTCTTAATTTTTTTCTTTACTGATTCTAAAGAATATTTAGTTTCATTTTTGCAGATTATAATATATTTTGCCAGAATAATAATGGTGAGCGAATTTACCCTCATTTAAAGGTAAAGTCGCTCACAAAAAAACGGCTTATAAATAATTTTTTGCAACATATTTTAATTTCTTTATGCAGTAATAGGAAAGAGAAAGGGTTAGAGATTATATATTTTCAGTGCCATCATTTATTTTCATCGTTTCCCAAAGTTATTTAAAAAAGAATTGAAAAATTGAGCGAATTTAGCCTCACTTACGGAATTTTTAAAAATCTTTTAAAATAATTGCATTTTTGCGAAGAATTTTATTACTTTTAAAAATAATTGAATTTCTGCAATCATTTGTAATTTCTCTAAAAATATCTAAATTATATTGTACAATTTCCGAATGTTTAATTCTTTTTGAATAAAATTACGGACTTCAAGCAAAGTTACGGACTTTTACGGGATTTACGGACCTAGTTCGAGCCCTGCAATTGAGAAGAACTTTTAATATAAGCATTAGAAGATTATGTAAAGATAGATAAATCTTCGAGACGCCTGTTTATCCCCGTTTATGCAAATGCTCTAATAGTCATTTGATCTAATTTAAAGGTTATAAATATTCAAATGATCTAAAGAACATTGAATATAATGTGATTTTATATAAAAGTCTAATTAATAAAATGAGTTTATTCTATAATTTATTTTTAAGCCAATAATCAAAATATCCAATTCGCATTTTCTATAATCATAAGCAATTATAAAATTTTTTCACGCAAACTTTCAACTGATAAAATAGTTGTATAAGCCAAAGTTTATTTTTTATAATTTTATAATAACCTAATTTTAAAGTGTTATAATTTTTAATTTGTATAAATTGTAATTTAACAAATGTCTGTCAAATCTAAATGTAGTAAAATATAATTTATTTAAATAAAATATCTTTTTTAAAAAATGCTAACAACCTCGAATCGTCAATTGATCAAATATTCAAAACATCTAATCGTCATTTCGTCCAATGCTAAAAACATCGAATCGTCAAATGGTCGAATGCTTAAAACATCGAATCGTCAATTGATCAAATATTCAAAACATCTAATCGTCATTTCGTCCAATGCTCGAAACGTCGAATCGAGAAAAAGTTGAAAAATTTGCTTGATTTAAATAAATGTTAACTTACATCAAGCAAATTTTTCAACTTTTTCTCGATTCGACGTTTCGAGCATTGGACGAAATGACGATTAGATGTTTTGAATATTTGATCAATTGACGATTCGATGTTTTAAGCATTCGACCATTTGACGATTCGATGTTTTTAGCATTGGACGAAATGACGATTAGATGTTTTGAATATTTGATCAATTGACGATTCGAGGTTGTTAGCATTTTTTAAAAAAGATATTTTATTTAAATAAATTATATTTTACTACATTTAGATTTGACAGACATTTGTTAAATTACAATTTATACAAATTAAAAATTATAACACTTTAAAATTAGGTTATTATAAAATTATAAAAAATAAACTTTGGCTTATACAACTATTTTATCAGTTGAAAGTTTGCGTAAAAAAATTTTATAATTGCTTATGATTATAGAAAATGCGAATTGGATATTTTGATTATTGGCTTAAAAATAAATTATAGAATAAACTCATTTTATTAATTAGACTTTTATATAAAATCACATTATATTCAATGTTCTTTAGATCATTTGAATATTTATAACCTTTAAATTAGATCAAATGACTATTAGAGCATTTGCATAAACGGGGATAAACAGGCGTCTCAAATCTTCGTAGATTATAAATAAATTTTTCAAAAAATTCAAAATTTTGAATTTTTAGCTTAGTTTGCAGTTTTATTCGACAGGAAGGTTAAAAATTAAATAAAATTTCTAAAAAATTCCATTTAAGCTCGCTAATAAAAAAAACTCCAAATGACATTAGATTCAGTCCCAAATGATCCAACTTTTAGATTAATTATTAATATAATTGATCTAAATCTAATTTCTTTTAGTTTGTAAAACATACAAGTTATGGGCAATAAAAGCCTGTGTGTTTTTGAATAAATAAATAAATAATAATCAAATAATAACAATTTTTTAAATAAAAACCCTGTGTCGAATTGTAACTAATTGATACCAATATTCGGATAAACTAATATTCTGGTAGAAATTTTTGTGTCAATTTAATTCTTCTCAAAAAGATGAAGTGTAACCAATTTCTTATAGCTGGTATATGTTGAAAATTCATGTATTAAATGGAATAAAAAATCTTTTTCCCTCTGAAAAAATATTAAATAATTTTAATTTTACTTTAATTTGAACTTCTTGTCGGGATTAAATCTGAATTTTTATCAAATAAAAAAATCTGGTTATATAGAGTATGGCTGTCTGTTACATGATCACTTTTTATTCAATAATTTTCAAACAATCTTAAATTTAGGTTATTTATTCTAAAATTTGATATTAATAGAATAAACCTATTGCTATTTTTATTTAATATTTCAAGAAAGTAAAGCATTTTTTCAATGAAAATATTTGACATTGATCATTTAGATTGTAGCAGACGACACGCGTTTAGCGATTTAAAGAAAAATTCCTCACTTTCAACATGCAAACATTTATTAATTATTATGTAGAAAATTTTTCTACTTACAATTGGATTGAGTGGTAATAAACGATTGTTCTCTGTCAATCTTCCAGTAAAATGACTGAATTTGAAAAACGGCATCTTTGATGCTGTATATTATAGAATTTTTTCCTCTGAGAATATTATTCCTTGCTGTTCCTTGCGTAATCAACAGGGTTGTGTAGATGTGTGTAGATGTCATTTATTTTGGGTATGACGCGCAAACTCGTGTATCAAGTTGTAAATCTTCAAAATATGTAACGTACATTTTTTATTTTTATTATTATTAATACTAATATTTTCAAATAGATGAAATAATATTTATTCGAGAATAGTTGAGAAATAGAAGTTAATTGAATATACATTGAATATAAATATAATTGAATTGTCCAAGAAGCAAAGTAGATAAAATAGATTTCTTTTATGAAGATTAGGATACCAAAATCTGTAATTATCTTTTTTCGTGTATAAATGTTTGCCTATTCACAAGGGTTCAATGAAAGAAGCAATTTTTAAATTAGTGTTCTAAGTCGGTTATATTACCCAGAGAATATTACCGAGAACGAGAATATTACCGAGAATATAACCGACGATTAAATTCTCTGAGAATTTAAGAGAATGTGACATAAGGCCTACGCAGAATAGAATCTTTAACCGGAACCGCAATCGTAAGCGTAACCGTAAGAATGAGTTAAAGAAGGATAGGTATATTGTTTATCCTTCTCTAACTCATTCTTACGCTAACGGTTACGATTGCGGTTCCGGTTAAAGATTCTATTCTGCGTAGGCCTATAACCGCACTTTTGTCGTTACACTGTAGTAAATTCGATTGTCCGACGTTGTGTTTTTATTTAGTAGTTGTTATTTTGTTAATTAAAGTGGCTATATTTTTAAAGATTTAAAAAATAACAAAACCAAAGAGTGTAAAATGGAAATATTTTAAAAGCAATGAATACAAAAACAATTAAATTCTTCTGTAAATTTTGTAAACAAGAATATGCCACAAATGCTATATATTAAAGGTACTTGCACAGCTCTACTGACTGCAGGTTGTCATGGTAACACATAAGAGCAAGAGAGTCAGAAAATTCAAATTAAATGGTTTTTCTCTCTTACTCTCGCAGCAGAGCTGACAGAAAGCCTTTATTCACAAATAATTTCAAAATATTTATTTAAAAAATTTTTTAATTCATTGTATATAATGTTAAATATAATCCTTATTCTTTATTTATCTATATTCAAAAGTATCTAAACTTTTATTCGTATTAAGTTACGCATATTTTATAAACCTTATAAATGCAAATGACATTAAATTTATAACTTAAAAAATTTGTGGTTTTACTTTTTTTATTTACATATATAACTTAAAGAATTTTTTTAGATAAAAGTAATCATCGCAATTGTGCTGAATTATATGTATTTATATTAATAAAAATAATAAATATACATTATTTAAATAAATAAACTTAAATTCTCAATATTCTCTTAAATTCTCTTATATTCTCTTTAAAAAATTAAATTACCGTAATTTCCTCAGGGAAATTACCCCAACTTAAATTCTCGAGAATTTAAGAACACTATTTTAAATACGAAAAAATTTACAAAATTGTTGAAGTTAAATTATTATTTAAAATTATAAATAATAAATATTACTTACCACTTATTTATATAATCATATGCTAAAATAGTAATAATAATAAAAATATTGATAATTAGCAGGGTGTGAGAGGACTTTAACAATAATTAGGAGACTGTAATAAATAAATAAATAATAATAATTAAGGGGGTGTGATATAGGTCTAATAATAATTAAACGGCTATGCTGATATAAATATGTGAATAAATATTAATAATAAAAATAAAAATAAGTATGATAAAATAGAATAAATCAAATCAAAATAGAATAAAAAGAAAAAATATAAATATTAAGTAGTAAGTTTTAGTATAACAGAATAAAAAAGTTAATTATTACTTCTTCTTGGATCGATAAATTTCGATTATCTTGTGTCTCGTTGAATTGCAATATGGCGACGTTAACTCACCCCCACCATTAGTACTTTCTTGCTTGAAGTGTTGACATTCGTGCGTTCGTGGGAAACACTTGTCAAGCATTGTTTCGCGTGAAAAATATATATGTTTGTATGGATTTTTTTTTTAATAAGAATGTCAGTGACAATTTGAAATATACATGCAATATTTTTAGAAATAAATTGAAAAAATCGAATTTTACAAGGAAGGAAAATATTTATAATATAGATTCGGCGCGCAACTGGGGATCTTTAAGGAAAGACAAAAAAATGAGTACTATGGTAACCGCGGAGGAGGATACGAAGGAAACGCACGGAAGTGAAGACGATGATTTGAAGATATTTGAAACCCTTTGCATCTCATCGCAAAAGGTCTTTTCGAATTGAATAAAACAAAATCAAAACAATGCACCGCAAATTTTGCACTTAAATTTTCTTCTTTATTATTGATATTTGTTTATATAGTACGAGTAATTAACACTTCTTTACCGCACTGCTTCGATAAATAACTGTATATATGTATACATGTCACGTGTTACGACTATATTCATAAATAGTTTTGAATTGTTGAAACAATTTTTTTTTCTGAATATACTGTAAAATTATACTGAGCAGAAATATACTGTTTTATACATTCATTTTGTTTATATTAAAATTATTTAATGATTTTCTTTATTATATTTCCATTTTTCATCAAATTAGACAAATCTGTTTTTGGCTTATTCCTGCAAATCTCTTTCCTTTTCTTGTTTGATCAATTTTTCCTTTGGCAACATTTTCTGCTTAAATTTTTTTAGAGCAAAATTACTACTAAATTTTTAAATGTTTTTCACTTTCGTCTTTTTATTTTTAAGAGAATTTAAAAATCTTTTTCTTCGAAATATTTAATGAAAAGAAAGTTTTAATACTTTTATTTTGAGGTAAATTTTTAATGAATTTGTTGATATTTTTAAGATTTTTAATCAAAAAATCTTCAACATTTATTAGCTTTTAATGGGATTTTTAACTAAAAAAATCTTTTACATTTTTTATTCTTATTTTTTTATTTTTATGTTTTTAAACTTTTCTTTAACTTATGACTTTATTGGGAGTTTAAACTATAAATAAAATTTCAAAATTTCTTTGTTATCGATTTTATAGCTCTATATTAGGCAAAATTTTTAATTATTTCTTTTATTTTTATTTTTTAGTGTTTAATTTTTTTAATAAATAGTGAAATTTAACGATCACTCCGAGTCAAGGAAAATAAAAATAAAAGAATTTCATTTCTTTTAACGTTTCGGCAGCACAGCTGTCCTCTTCAGAACTATAATTTATTATAAAACAAAATATTAAAAAAAGATTTTTTACAATTTTTTGATTAACAAGAAAAAATTTAATAATAAAATATTTACCGAAAAAAAGAAAATTAAAAAATTAAAATTATAAAAGTTAAGATAGGCACATCTTTGTCGCTACGGTTACAATTTGACACTAAACAAATATACAGACAAGTACTTTAATTTAGTTTAATTTTTTTGCTCGTTTTATTTTTGTATGTTTGGCAAAAATTATAAGATTGCTTTTTTCTTTACAGGAGGATTTTTAAATAGAAATAAACAAAAAATAGAAAAATAAAAACTATTTAGTTGCGGTAAAATATTATTTTTTTAAAATTACAATTCACTAATTTTTAATTATAAAAAATGACATGCGTATAATTTAATTGAATATAAAGTACAAAGTTTAATCAAACATTAAAATTTTTTTTGTAATTACAATTTCAATTAGTCGGATGCAATAAGTCACCTATTTTAATCTAATTCATATTACTGCGAGTAGAGGTCGCAAGTGGGACATTCTTATTGGCTCTTTTGCAATGTCAAAAGTGACATAACCAAAAAAACCTTCTGGAGTCCAGTGTGGGCGTTTCTAAGCATTTAGTTTTTCAGTCAATTATTTCATCCAAACCCTTTTAACATAAATTTATAATAATTATATAATTATATCGTAATTTGTAATTAGTAGGCGATAATAAATTACATACTAATAATATTAGAAAAGTTTATAAATCTCTAAAATTTAAAATAGAATCCCACTTATTTAACTTTTTATATTTAAAAAATTGAATTTTCGGAATTTTCCATAAAAATGGTTTTATTGAAATACAAACATTTGAAAGTTTAATGTACTTTGTTCGTTTAACTTAATTTTTAAATTCAGCACAAAATTTATAGATTATAAAAGTATATATTTGTTTGATATGTTTCGGAATTAATCAATAAAGTTCCTAACTTGATTGATTGTTATTTTTTTGTTTTCCAATTGCCTAAATTCAAATTGAAAGTTGTGTACAATGGAAGAAGCTATTGACCTGTAGATGAAGAACGAGGGTGTGTTGCCATAGCATTGGATCGATTTTACCTGTCGTTGTTACCTATATTATTATATACATATATATTTTCACTCGAGAATAATGCAAAAAATAAAAAATGCCTTTAATTTTAAGAGCATATCTACCTCTAGTGCTTGCTTTCTTCACTGTTCCTTGCATTCTTATCTTTATCACAACTAAAAATATATACCAAAATCAATATATTCATTCAGCATAATTTTAAAATACCCAATGGGAAATTAACCATTGGCGCAATAATGGTCCTATATTGGGAGCCAGCAGTACCAATGATGGTGCAATAATAGCAACCAATATTGGACCACTATTGCCAGAGTCTTGGGATGATCACGACTTTGCCAAGCATTGGCAGCCAATATTGGGTCACTATTGGCTGCCAAGACAAATGCCGGACTTTCCAAGCCTTGGATATTCATTGGCAACAAAGATTGGACCAATATTAATGACCAATTAAAAAAAAAATTAAATTACTAATCTAAAGAAAGAAAAATAATTAATTTAATTAGAACACTCTGTTAAAAACAGAATGTGATAAAAATCAGACAAAGACAAAATTTGTCTAAGTTTGAGAATGCAAGCGTCTCTCCTTATATAGAACTGGTAACACAACTTGCTGGTGAGAGGAAGAAACTGTGGCGCACCCTGGTGGCATTTATCCAAAGTAATTTCGAGCATATACTTTGAAGCAGCGCGGGACATTTCAAAATCGAACACCAGGGTGCGCCAGAGCTTCTTTCACTCATCAGCAAGTTGTGTTACCACTTCTATATAAGAAGAGACACTTGCATTCTCAAACTTAAACGAATTTTGTCTTTGTCTGACTTTTATCACATTCTGTTTTTAACAGAGTGTTCTACCCAGTAAAAAAAAAGTATTCTGAATAGAGAAAAAGTATTGGTGGAGACGTTCGGTGAATGCGTTTTCGCGACAAAACCGTATTGGTGGGTTACGGTGAATACATTTTTCTTACCGTGAATACATTTTTTTTAAACTCTCGATTTAAAGATTCCTAAGCAAAGTTGAGAATATTTATAAAGAGCGTAAGTGACCTGAAGTATAAAAATGACAATTGCGAAAAGAAAATAAGAAATTTTGAGAAAAAACGAAAAATTAAATGTGACAAACCTACAACGTATGATGATGAAAAGGAACATTGACGATACCGACAGAAACTTGAGAAATCCAAGTAAATTGAAACAGTAAGTTCCGCCGGTAACGTCAAAGTTCCTTTTAATCATCATACGTTGTAGGCACAGAAAAGCATTGGTAATTGATCAACATTTGACAATCTGTTTGTCACATTTAATTTTTCGTTTTTTCTCAAAATTTCTTATTTCCTTCTCGCAATAGTCATTTTTATACTTCAGGTCACTTACGCTCTTTATAAATATTCTCAACTTTGCTTAGGAATCTTTAAATCGAAAGTTTTTAAAAAAAAGTATTCACGGTAAGCAAAATGTATTCACCGTAACCCACCAATACGGTTTTGTCGCGAAAACGCATTCACCGAACGTCTTCACCAATATTTTTTCTTTATGTCTGAATACTTTTTTTTACTGGGTAATTAAATTAATTATTTTTCTTTCTTTAGATTAGTAATTTAATTTTTTTTTTTTGAAAAATTTTTGCCATGTGTTGGTATTTGTAAAATATTGATTTCAAATGTTGGTTCAATATTGGTAACCAAGCATTAATTTAATTTTAAAGCATTGGTGAATAATTGGTCATTAATATTGGTCCAATCTTTGTTGCCAATGAATAACCATGGCTTGGAAAGTCCGGCATTTGCCTTGGCAGCCTACACGGAGAGAAATTTCCAATAAAAATTACTGTGCTTGTCACCTGAAAGTATGTGCAAAATGTTTTTACTGAACTATTTGTATCGGAAGAATAGAAATATTGACTTGCGCACAATTTTATTTCATATGGAAAACAGTTTTATTTCCAAAATGGCCTCGGAATATTTCTTTGAAAGCACCTTAAAAATTGCTGAACCAGGACTTTCTAATTTGGTCCAAAGAAAAATATATTAACCGTACCATGAAATAGTCATGCGCAGGTTAATAAAATAGACTGTGCTCCCCACAAATTTTTACTGTGCTGCCTGCATGAAGTCAAGTTGAAGAAGGCCGATGATACCCGAAGTATCACGAACATCCATTTAATATTGCTACGATTGCTATACTATCGTACTTTCCTCACCTGTCGGCAAGATAAATTTTTGCAACGTTTTCGTTTCTATGTTTTAATTTATTGCGATATAAAAATATATTGAAAATGAAATCATTTTTCCTGTCCATGATTTCACTTAACCTAGAAATTTTGAAATCAAACGTGTGTGCCTTGTATACAATGCGTTTACTATGGAATTTCAACTTAACCTCAAATATTGATTTGATATCATGATATATATACATGGAATATAATAATCGCGTCACATGTAAAACAAATAAACATTAACAGTAATTAATTAACAAACATTATTTAATTTATGTTAATTCATTACATATGAATTGTAAAAAAAGAATGTCACATTCACAAATAGCTTTTATGTCAAATTATTTTTCTGTGTATTTTCTTTGTTGAGGTAGCACAGTAATTTTTGTAGTTAAAGAGACAGCAAATATTTTCGTTTTTTTAGGTATAAACTGTGTTGGTTAATGGTACATTCTACTTTGCCAACAAAACGAACCTATTTTATACGGAAGCACAGTAATTTTTTCCATAATTTCCTTACAAAAATTAACAGAAATTTCTCTCCGTGTAGTGATCCAATATTGGCTGCCAATGCTTGGCATAGTCGTGATCATCCCAAGACTCTGTCAATAATAGCCCGATATTGGTTGTCAATGTTTGACCAAGAAAAAACTGTTGGCAGCCAATATTGGTCCATTATTTAGCCGATGGTGAGCATTGGCAATTTCGCATTGGGGGCCATTCAAGTATTACGTAAGCATATTTTTCAGGTTTTTAGACCCCC